ACATAGATCTGAAACAGAAAATGGAACTTGTTTAATTTAATGACTCAATGATTATGTCATTAATGTTTGACTCGATTTATCCCAAAGTTTGATTTTTTTTTTTTTTTTTTTTTTTTTGCATCAGATCGATTGAGTCAAATATGTTCCTACGTTCATAAATACAATAAAAATATCGAATTTGAATTAATAAGCATGTTAATTGGTTATCAGTTCGAACCTATATACAAACTTAGATAGTTTGAATTTTAAGTCAAATTTGTTTAATTGTGGATTTCCGGTTCAGCTTACGCGTACGGACTAATCCCTTGGGTGACCACGAATGGCCTGGAGACATCAAATGAACCTCCATGGCCACAAGGGCTTTGCAGCACCTGGTATTTTAACTCGAAGTAGATGAGATTTTCCATTACATCCCCTTGAGCCTTATTTTTCTTTGTCCTCCAGATTTACAAGGAAAACAGATTTACAGTTGAAATTTCCTCTAACATTTAGATATTTAAGTTATAATTAAACATCATTATTATATTTCCCTTTCGGATCAAACATACCATTTATTTTTTTACTAAATAAAATCGGTCGAATAATATTGAAAACGATTGCACCATACACAAAACTGCAAAAACTCGCAAAGAAATGATGTTCAAAAATATATATCTACAAGTGATTTGTTACATATATTTACGCATCATTTAATAAATCATATAGTACAATAATAAAGTATATATGGTACAATAATAATTAATAAACGAATGATAGAAATCAAACGTGCTACACATAGAATTGGGTCCCTCTCCCCCACTCGTAATTTAAAGAGTAAATTACGTTTTTAGTCCCTTCAATTTGTTGAAGAGTATTATCTTTGTCCCTTTGCTTTTAAAATTACGATTTTCGTCCTTATAGTTTATTAGTTGCAGTATGATAATTTAATTCATCTTTTGCGCTTTATAGTCGTAACCGTTGTAAACTCTATAGTGTGGAAACTGGGTGGCTTCATCGTGTACCATTTCTTTTAGATAAAATAGCATACCCGTTGGTAATTTACCAGGTTCAGGCATAATAGTTCAAAGGCGGGTAAGTAACGGTGGGTAGTGAAGGCTTACCATAAGCAGGCGATAGTAAATCGCTTCATTATTTGTTTCACTAAGGGGCCATTTACTAAACGTTTACCCGGTAAGTACTTATCGGGTAATTTTTCTTATCAGATGAACATGGCAAGGGCCAAGAATCTTACCCGGTAAGTGAGGGTGACGTCTCTTACCCGAGTAAGCACTTACCAGGTAAATTGTTGGATATGATACGTTTTGATGTACTGCAATCTTACCCAATAAAATAAATTATAGTGTTGACTCCTAACATTAAACACTTACCGGGTAAGCATTTAGGTAAACGGCCCCTAACATTAAAAAAAAACACAATTCACTCTGAATTTAATAAACTCAAAATATAAAAAAATATAAAAAATTTAGACTCAATTACGGATTTGGTCCTTGTGGTTTGTGTGGTTTTTACAAAATTGATCCGTTGAGTAAAGATAAAAAGAGGAAAAGAGCGGAAATGCTTTCAACATTCACGGAGGAACTAAATGGTTGTTAGAGAGGGGGACCAGTTCATTACAAAACGACATATCATGAGTTCCAATATATAATAAATAAAGTTCGGGAACCATTTTCGTACAAACCACCAAACCCACAAGTACAAAAGTGGAGTGTTGGGTACATATATTAAGGGGTGTTTAGGATTGCTTATAAAAGTTGCTTTTTAATTTATTTCAGTCTGGCACCGGTGATAAGTTGTTTTCTAGTGTTTGGATAAGAAGTAAAAAACTGTTTATACCGGTGCCAAACCGGTAATAAGTTGTTTTTGATAAGTTAATCCTTCCTGACTGATGAAAAATTGTTTATTACCAGTTTACAATTTTAACCCTGTTTTATTTAACTCCGGTTTGATACCACATAAGTTAATAAGCACTTTTACGAAAAAGCATAAGTTGTTTTAAATAAGCAATCCCAAACACCCCCTAAGTCTATATGTATATTAATTTTCTAATTTTTAGATAAACAAATATATCAGGATATATAGTATTTTAATAGATTTTTATATCAGTGTGTTGGGTACATTTAAGGGTGTTCATGGGTTGGATTGATCGGGTTGAAGACATTTAAACAACCCAATTCAATGTTTGCGGTTTGAAAATTTTTAACTCAACCAAACTCAAAC